AAGGTCAGACTAATAGTTTTTAGTTATTCTTAATAACTTATATTGAATTCGGCAGTAAATAATTTTTAATTTTTGATTATTATTATTTTAGCTGCATGAATTTTAAAATAAAAATGATCTTAACAAAGTAAAGTGCACCAACTGTCTGAGGATACAGATGCACTCTCTATTCTCTCAATATCGGTAGATATGGTAAGAAAACAGTCACTCATTCATGGGCTGATCGCAGCAAGTGCAACTTAATCTCGCAGATCTAGTGATAAGCGCAGCTATTACTTAACCACGAGTTCCTCTTCTCTACGACTAACGCTGTAGGCGATGAACCACGCTATTTAATCCCTCGGCACAATGTCATCGGCCATCAAGCATGAATCGAGCATCGAGCGTTGTGAGTATCAAATACTATGGAATTTATACTATCCTGGCACATTGAACCGCTCGTCTCATGCGTAGGCGTCGTCTAGTGGCGCTTCAAGAGCATTACTAAATATATTTTATCTAATTACGCTAAGAGTTTCATCATCGTGACTTGAGAATATAATCCGAAGCTCTGCGCAACACCTTGGAGAAAAAAGCGTGATGCTATTAATATTGCACTAGTGTGACCGTGAAGTGCGGGTGGTGAGGTAAGGTTATACATTTTTTTCGGTTGATAAATAGATGCTTAGTTGGGTTCATAATGGCTTAAATACGATAAACTCAAGATATTTATCTTTAATGTACTACAGTTTCCTAATGTATAAAAATCTGTCTCTATTATTATCTAAACTTTACTTACTGGTACAAATAATGTAGAAATGGCTCCTTTTAATAAAATTGTTTGTATCCTACTTTTTCTTTTATACTTCTCAAGTAAATGTTTGCTGCAAATTGTTGAGTTTTTCTTTGGGCTCCAACCAACCCGTTCAAAACTTTAAACATTTTTTTCTAATTATAGAATTCGGAGGGAAAATAAAATTACATTTATAGAACGCAAAACGAGAATTTATTTTCTTGTTGTGTGGGCAAGTCTGTCGATTTAATATAAACATTCAAGATAAATATCGACATTAATTTTGAAATAGTTGAGTCAATCCCTAGCGTACATGTAAAATATTTTATATAAAAATGTAGTTACCAAATTTATGCAAATTAACAACAAAACGACTTTTTTCTTTTCAAAATATCAAAATTAACAAAATAATTGAAAACATTCTATACTTTAAGCAGTATATAACATAACTTAGGTATAGAAAAAATAGAATTTACCTGTGAAATATGCAATTATCATGAATATTTCTATTATTAACACCACAGTCAATCACAGAACAAGTAACAATTTAAAAAAAAAACCTCTAAAAAATTACAAAATATCTAGGAGCTATTTCTCGCGTGTCGACTTGTGCCGACCTGTCATTCAAAATCGGTTACAGAATGATGAGATTTGGTATCCTTTTCTATCTTCCATTTTTCCGTAAGGAATTTTCTTCTCCCTTGCACACTATGTCCGTCTATACCACAAAGTATAGTGCCACCAACTTATCTGTTCAGATGGACAAAATTGGAACTAAGGCCGTCATTTTGTAAATAATATTTCGCTGTCCGCTATTTTTATTCAGTGTATTTAAAAGAACAAGTAACAATTTTAAAAAAACCTCTAAAAACTTACAAAATATCTAGGAGCTATTTCTCGCGTGTCGACTTGTGCCGACCTGTCATTCAAAATCGGTTACAGAATGATGAGATTTGGTATCCTTTTCTATCTTCCATTTTTCCGTAAGGAATTTTCTTCTCCCTTGCACACTATGTCAGTCTATACCACAAAGTATAGTGCCACCAACTTATCTGTTTAGGTGGACAAAATTGGAACTAAGGCCGCCACTTTGTAAATGACATTTCGCTGTCAGATATTTTTATTCAGTGTATTTAAAAGTGCAAATAAAATGCCTAAAGCAGATTATCCTAAAAGTTTTATCCTTTATGAAAGAACAGAAACGTTTACAAGCCCCAATTATATTTGAAAAGCTGTATGAATGCGTTGCTGCTGCCACAAGTTAGTATTGCCAGATATGGATAATTAAAATCACCAAGTAATGTACTCGTGAAACATAGTAATAAAATTATCTCAACTTACTGTTATTGATCTAAAATACCAGGGTTTGTAGTTTGTGGTCTATGAAGTAGCTTTAGTGAGAGCATATTTACGGGCTTATATTTATTAAATTATACCTATAAAATATTTATTTGCCGTTTTGTTACAGGTGTTTCTCAGCGATTTGTACACAAACTCGTCAATGAAGTAAAACACGCTAAATAATCCAATTTTAAAATTTCTACCACTGGCAAAAAGGGCAAAGACAAACCGGGAAACAAGAAATTGATAATTTTGACAATGGTGTTATAAGAAGAAAAATTCACGAATTTTATTAAGTGTGAAAAGGAATTCCTACCATACCGAAATAAATAAAAAAAATGTGTTATTAAAGAGAAATAAACCTGCTCCGGAATATCAAATTGATAACTTGGTGAAAGTAATGGCCATAATGTTCTTAAATTGCCACCTGAACATTCATTGCGACTTGAACGCAATTTAAATTATATGGAGCTCTATGAAAAGGAACGTAGCAGACAAAAATGTTGGATAACTTGGTGTTCAAACATTTTATAATGTTTAAAATGTTAATGTTCAAAAATCAACTGAAGATACATTCCATAAAATTACACCGGTAGAGTGGAAAAACATTTGTAATCTTGTGAAAAAAAAATTAAAATGAATACACGCAAAAACACGCGTATTTAGATGAACCCTTTATTATAGAGTTAAAGAGCGATAGTTGAACTGATTCCAGTTACGCAGAAGATAAATTGTTGGCACCAGTAGCTAACGTGGGTACATCATTGAAAACAGGAATACCTGGAGTTCAGTCACTTGAACTCCGAGATCACGCCACAATTATTTTTATAAAATATAAATCATATATATATATATATATATATATATATATATATATATATATATATATATATATAATAACAATAACTTTAATATATTAAAAAGAAATTTGTTTTATTTTACATTATGTGTAATGAATATGTAGTCACCTATTTCCTAGGTAAATTTCTTAAATGGCAATAGTAAACACTCCACTAGCGATGCTGTCTACTGAACAGATAAGTTGGTGGCACTGTAATAAGAAGTGCTAGCACAGTCTATACGGTCTATACGCCAGTATATTTTAAGTCTATGGGCAGAATACACTAGTAAGGCTGGCCATATCTATACGGAATTCCGTTTCGTGATTCCGTTTCGGAATCCCGAATCGGGATTCCGTGAATACATCACACACACACGTTTTTTTCCGTTCGGAATAACAAGGGTCAGTTGAGAGACGTTAGCCATTGAGTCTAGACATTCTGCCAGCGAATAATGACGACGATTTTCTAATTGCAAATTCCATTGTTGCTGTATCATTCTTACTAGGTGCATCCCCTTATCACCCTAAGCTTGCAATATAGTCAATACTATGTAAAAAGATCTATCTATCCAGAGATATTTTTTTAAATATTTATGTATGTAAATTCTATCGAGGAATTATTAAATAAAATAAGATGAAAGGTTACGAAAAGCTATACACCTACAAGATTAAATTTAAAAACATACATAAATACACCTACTCACTTCGGTCGTGCGACGAACACTGAGCGCATTCCGTACGGAATTTACGTATGTGTGTTGCGACTCGTACAAAATCTATGGAAGACGTGCGTTCGGAGCGGCTTTTTTCCGTTCGGGATCCCGAACGCACAGACGATCATACGGAATCTCGAATCGGAGAAATTCCGTACGAAAAAATAACGTACGTGTGTGGCGGGTCATAGATTTTATATGGACTTGCTGCGTTCGGAATCTCGAATCGGAATATCGAAATTCCGTTTCGAGATTCCGTTTCGGAATTTCGAACGGTCGGCCACACACAAACGGAATCCCGTTTTCCGATTCGGAATCCCGAACGCAGCTAGTCCATATAAAATCTATGGCCCGTCATACACGTACGGTAGTTTTCCGTTCGAAATTTTGCGGATAAAACGGGATTCCGTATGTGTGTGGCCGATCCGTTCGTAATTCCGAAACGGAATCTCGAAACGGAATTCCGTATGTATGTGGCGAGCCTTAGTCTGTGTTCTCATCATCTCGGTACCTATCGTGACGATTTCCTGTTCAGAATTAAAATTTCCATAAAAAGTCAAAATAATCTTGGCATGTGCTGCGTTAATTATAATAGATATAACTATAAATGTTGTATCTCGATGACTTGACTAATTTTGATCCATTATATAAAAGTTCACAATTTTATCAGGAAACGAAAAGGGAGAGACTGTGCTCATACCATACATTCCTATTATATTAAACAACCTACTGCTTAATATTGAACGATTACATTTCTCATTAAAATTAGCATTTTCTAAAACATTTGACAAACCCCAGGGTCCAACTTTGAAATAAGGGAAATCACATATGGGTACTGCTTGTTATACCCATTAGCTTTTAGTGCATCTTGCTCACGTGATTCTAGGGCTCAGTATTTGCATAATTTTGTTTAATGAAAGAAATTATTTAATAGTCTGTATAGATACATATACTGCAGTAGATCGTTCTGCAACTTTTATTTAAAATAATTTTTATTAAAATATTCATCGGCTTTTACTTAAGTGCTAGCAGAGCCGCGAGTAAAAGCTAGTTTTAATATTAGAGATAATCTACTCAGTGGGACAATACGCACGTACTAAATGTATAAAAGTCCAGTCATGTGTAATAATGTACCTACTAAGATCTTTGTGCATAAATAATCTATATTATTTTAAGATGAATTGTAGAGATTGATGTAAAATTGACACATTTTTGTCAATTTTTACATCTATGATTATTAACACGTAAACAATGCAAGTGTCGAAATAATAAAATAAAAATCTATTCAATATTATAATTTATTCAATGCTAAAATAGTCTTGAAGAACTTAAAATGTCGGATATGATAATAAATGGTAATTATTCAAAAATTTAAGATTTTGTACATAGTGAGGTGTATCTATCACAGATGGTTTAACGGTCAATGTTGGATGACACTACTTCATAATATATATATATAAGCAGATAGTTACGAGCGCAATGCGAGACAGGCAGTGGCACCGACCAATCTGATATGTGGGCGAATCATACCGATATCAGTGTATTTGAATACTTATAATCAACATATCACACAAATATTTTTTATGTCTAATGAATTATTCATTTGTTGGCAGATACTGTTCCAGTTGATAAGAAATGGAATGAACTTATCAAATATAACATATTTATAATGAAATTAATAGAATTTGTAAGTAAACATTTTGATTGGATCTTATCTATATAGTTGGCTTGATATAATAAGTATGTGATAAACAACGATTGGATCAGTTAAGCAAAACAGAGTTCATAAAAAATAATTAATGCGTTCAACTCAATTATTCGTTATAGGTAATATCAGTGATTATCATGCTTTTGCCGTCAGTGATTCCAAAGCCTCATGGTCATATGTACTGCATATCAACAGGTCCAACAGTAATAATATCGCTTTTATTTATCATATTATATTTACGAAGAAAAGTACCCCTATTTATGGAAAAAATGTATTTATTTTTTCAAATTTTGTTTACTTTCGGAGCCTTTATTCAATGTTTTCTTCTAAATCTTAGCAGGGTTTGGTTATGGTTAATTTATGGCGTATTTTATTTCACGTTGCTAACAGCATTGTCATTAGACTTATTTTTAATTGCAAATGAAAGGGGATGTACGTTTAGTTGTGCTTAGTTTTCTGTTCGAAATTATTATTTGTATATTTAATAAACATCGATTATTAAAAAAATCAGGACTGTGAATAACAAATATGTGAGGCCAATAAAATAAATTTAATTTTTGAGTAAACGCTCTTAAGGGCAACTCCAATAAATGTGATTATACTTCATTATTGTATTTTACTTTCCAAAATACCTAATAGAATATATATTATAAACGCTTAATGTGAGACTTGGTAGAGCCATGTTGCAGCTATAGTAGTAGCGCGAATTGGTCGGCTCGTCCGGGGTAGGACCACCACACCCTCATAGAATACCAGCGTAAATAGCAGCTTCATACTGTTATGTTTCGTGTGGTGAGTGTAGGAAACCGGAAACCCTTTTTACTGCAAACGAGGCATTCCTTCTTATTGCTTGATGTCTGAAACACAGGTACTCAACCTAGTTCAGCCAGGTAGCTAATATTATAAACTTGACTTTTCTATTTTTCTTTTGTAGATTCTACATTATTAAGCTACACATAGTTTTAGTTTTATCATAGCATGTTATTTTGGTTAGACTTATTGTTACTTTATTTAATTGTAATCATATTTGTTCCTGTATGTAAACATGTGCAATTGGAAATGAAATAAATATTTATTATTAAAATATGTACATTTATAGGTATAATAATAAAAAAAAACTAAAACTAGAAACTTAATTATCATATAGTCCTAATCCCCGCGGTATCGTGCCAAGAACGCTGGCCGCGTTTCCCCGCTGAATGGCTATACTTAGCCTTTGAGCGAGAAAAGAACCAGCCCTCTTATCACCAGCAGCAACGACCAGCCGCGGATGGAGTTCCTTTAAGAACTTCACCGCACGTGGACCCCACGGACCGATAGTCTCTACAGCAAATGGCACAAATATTTAGTCATCTCTCAGAGACTCATATTTGCGCCACTTCCTCAGTTCAGCTGCCTCTGATGCCGCCCCGGCTCTAAACGAGGTACCCCTGAGATGAGAGGCCGCCAGAGTATCTACGCAAGTAGCATCCCACACTAGGGCTTTACCTCTCTCCCAAGGGCCCAAAGTCATACCGTCGGGTCTCCTGCCATCGTCTCTAAATATTCCACAAGGCTCTAAAACCGAGAGAACATTTATAGAGACAAGAGCCCTTCGGATGACATCGTTTAAAGAACTGTGTCGTGAAAATCTACAAGCGCTTTTCTTACATGAAAGTCCGTGGAGCCCAAACTAGTTGACGCTGCTACCACAGGGGCACTCATGTGGTTGACAAAGCGCCGCTCCTAGTCGGATTCCTACGGAAATACGCAAGCTTTCTCCATCAAGTAATGTGCCGAGATTACTAGATGGTAAAGCGTGTAACCAGTGACTAGATTCCTTAGTCGAAACAGCTAGAAGGCGTGTCTTATCTTGGTCACTATGGAAATTATGAAACAAATCTTTCTGCACGCCCCGTACCAACGGAATATCCCACTGTTTTTGTTGGTTAACTTCCAGTGGAACATTTTCACCGGGACAGAGCGTTTGCCATGTCTGCCCTGCTTCCGTAGCAAAGCATAGGTCTACTTTATTATTTAAAATTATGTTACATAAGTCACCGACACTATGCACGGAAGAAAGGGAAGCAGGCAATGCAACGCTACAAAGATTTCTCACACCAATGCCACCAAATTTTATAGGTAAAGTAGCTTGAGTCCAGGCTGTTGTATTTAAACTTAAATTTAGAATTTTTTCTATAGCTATTTCAAGATAATTATCAATATCTTTTAAAATATCCGAACATTTCCAGACTGGACTCGAGCAAAGTAAGTATGTAAATCTAGGTACAGAGACAATATTTTAAAATAGTAAGAACTATGTGGGGGTTTAATTTATATAACTTATCAACGTGGTTTAAAAACTGATCAAATTTTGTTTTTAAAACAGGTTTAATACTATCGAAAAACAACGGGGCACCTAGCAGGTATAGAGATTCCGTACTGACAGTTTTTATTCCTGGAGAAACATGATTGAAATTTTGAATTAAACTGTCTCTATGAGAAGTAGATAAATTATTGGAAAAAATATTTCACATTTATTGCTATTTGGTTCAAGACCAATATTTTTAAAATTTCGAAATATATGAGTAAGATCACTGAGGACGTCATCTGCTCTACCTCCCAGTGTACCGTCGTCCAGGTACCAGACATTCAGCTTGGATTTCAAATTTGAAATAATGGGTTGAATTCCCAAACTGAAAAGTGCTGGACCTAGTGGGTCACCCTGCTGAACACCGACAGTAGAATCGATAACATGGTTTTCGTAAAACAAGTTAGTATTTTGACTATAACATTGCCAAACGTAATGATAAATTTCGGGGGTATTGTTAGCCACTTCTTTCAGCAAGGTTACCCTATTGATAGAGTTAAAAGCATTCCTTAGTTCAACCTTCACAAGAACATCTGCATCAGAGTTTGTTAAAAATGTACGCACTGAATGTACCGCCGCCTCACAGCCACCTCTAGTGCCAAAGCCTAGTTGAGTAGGCTGAAATTTGGTCTTAAGGTTAGAGATTATGTGCCTGCAAGCTAATTTTGAAGTTAAGCGTCGAAATGTAGAACCAACGGCAATAGGACGAATACCGTTATCCTTTTTTTTGAAAGCACATAATCTTGCCCCATATAAGAATGGAATGAAATTTGGATTAACATTACCAGAAAGCATAAAGTTACATAATTTTGTAATGTCTTTAAGAAGTACTCCGCCGGCGTCACCGGTAGAAGCGCTTACAAGATCTTTAAGATGTTGAGGCGTAATTCCGTCAATGCCGCCAGCAGAGCCATTCGAAAATGACATAATTGCTTCTAAAGTGTCTTTTTCAGAAATTTTCAAAGGTTGCATAAAAGTCTTGGGAGGCAGCGGTAAACCCTGAGAAGGTTTGACCGAAGGATGCTTCTGACGAAGGCTTTCGAGAGTTTCGACATTACGAGGAGCCAGGATGTCGTCTGAGAATAAAATACGGGATGCATTTTTTAAGTCGCCATCCATTACTTTCGACTCAACTACTTTTTTAAAATCAAATTTAGGCCGTGGTCGACATAAATGAGTATTGATTGGGTAATCTAAATTTTGAAAAGATGTCTCTTAATAATTATTCTTCAGGAGGGAACAACGCATTCTGTATTTTAATTTTAAATTGAGGATAGATGTAGATGTTTATGAGTCACAGCATCCAATTACCATCAGGTGAACTGTGTGCCCGCTTATCACCCTATTACTATGAAAAAAAGACCAGCAAGACGAGATAAAAAATATTAGTACATTGATCTTAACTGCGTTGTGTACGCGTGTTGTGCGTTGTATAACGTTATAGCTTGAGAGCACAACAAAAACATAATAGCCATCTTCATCGCATTCGGTGATTTAAGAGGATTACACTCTATGAGCCTATGGTGAGGGACACGAAGTGACCGCTCTGAATTTTTCGGAACCTCTTTGTACGAAAAAGGTGTCCTCTGTCTCTGCCTTCCGCAACCGTGTGGGAAGAGGAATATTGGTAAAATAATTATATAGTGTATATATATATATATATATATATATATTTAAAGTTTATATAACACCAAAATAAATCAAGTCCTCAAAACAACAGGAGGGTACCCACTCCATAACATAACCTACTTCTTTACTTGTCTAAAGGAAGTGTCAAGTGGCGTCGGACTAATACTCGTAGAATGACTTATTCAAGCTAGTCCTAGAGTAGTAGAGTTCTATCCTCACGTCTTCGAGTTTTTTTTTTCTACAGTCATTGCTTACAATAATAATCGTGTATTATTTTAGATCACTGACCTCTATATATACAAGCAGATGAACTAAAATTACGCTTTGTTTTTGTTTGTAGGTATATTTATATTTGTACATTTCCCAGTGAAGTAAGAAGGCTGATGAGGCAATAACTGATCGCTAGGTTGCCTAGCTTTTCAGGTTTCGTGATACATATCACACTGTTTTCATAAGTGGGTTGAAAATGCCAAACAATAGATGAGGTGTGATTATTTGATCATCATTTTGCTTACAACTTAATGACTGGGTTTCCATCTTAGATACGCTTATATTTCGCTCTACCATAGCGTCTTTTTAAATTTGGATCAAGACTGATCCATGCACAGTAGAGTACTAAAGCTGCATAGCACCCTAGGCGCAGACAGATATGACACCCTCATTTTTATATGATATATAGTTCTTGATGCGTCTGGTAGTGATCGTGTAACCTGAACAACTTAATCGATGATTGAAGTCATATTTAAATAATATATTTGTTGTGTCAAGATGACAATTCATAGCTAACTTTTAGTGGAAACGACGTAACAAGTGCTTCGATATTGATATGTCTCAAGTTTTTTTTAATCCACTTAGTGCCTTGAAATAGCGGGTATCGTCATCAACCTTCTGCTGGGAGTAGAATATAGAAATATAAACCTACTTCAAAATATCATAATTTGTCGCATCAGCTTAGTATGAATTTTGTTAACAAAATACAGACTAGGCTGTATGGGCATTGCGTACCGTAGATCCATCTGCCTTTATGTAAAAAACGATTAACAAATCAAAATCAAATTTATTTTTATCGTTCATTTTAATTTAAATAGTTATTTTTTATCCTTTAAAAATTAAAAACCTAGTGATTAAATTCTCTTTGATGTTAACGTTAATATAAATCATTTAATATTCGTAAAAATGAAGTGCCTACTTTAATTAACTAAGGGATTTTATCAAAAATCACTACATTTTAGAATTAATCTTCTCATCAATAATAACGACCTAAATAACGTTTTCATAATGCATCAATATATATGCAGAAGTCGGTTTTGTAACTTTCAACTCTTATCATTTATTAGGTATCGTGTTTGTTTTTAGGTTATTTCGGTAATACTTATGACATTACCCTTTGCTTTGGCCGAAGCAGACACATTTCACTGTTTGGCTGCTGCACCGACCCTTATCTTATCCTTTATATTCATCGTGTTGTATTTAGTGGACCAAGCCCAAGATTTGGCTGAGCAGTTATATTTGTTTACACAAATTTTTCTCAATGTAGTGGCATTATTGCATTTAATTATAGAGCCAAGTTCAGCAGGAATGTATTATGGACTTTTTTACTGTCATCTTATAATTGCACTTTGTATTGATTTTTATTATGTAGTCAAAGATAAAGGATGTTTAATATTTGCTGCTGTTAAATAAGTATATTCTTGGTAAATAAATTATGTTATTAGATTTACTAGTATTATTCAATTTTTTATGTGTTCTAAACCCAAATTGTCTATATACAAAAGGCAAAAGTGGGTTGTTATTCAAACTTAAACATGAGTTAATTAATTCATACACCAACTTTTGCTTTTAATAGTATTATTTTGTTGCAATTAAATCTTAACCTTCATTAATTTCTACAATAATCAGTATATTATAAATACTATAATATGGTAATTGGTATTGTTAGTAATCTAAAAACAAGTATTATGTCATCTTTCTAGGTAGTGGCACTTCTTCTAAATATAATACCTCATATTGTGGAGCCTGTTGACTCATGGTACTGTTTGGCCTCATCGCCTACTCTTGTGATGTCTATCCTACTCATGGTGCTTTATGTGGTGGATCAAGTTCAATATGAGGCTGAACTTTATTACATTCTTATACAACTTATTATTACAATTTTTGCATTGATAAATTTATTTATTGTTGGGAAAATGGTTGGAGCAATATATGGATTGTTCTATATTGATTTAATAATTGCATTTATCATGGATTTATACTATATACAGAAAGACAGAGGATGGACTTTTTAAATATATTTGTATAATGCAGTGAAATTGATTTCAATGTTACAAGAGTGTTGTTTGATGATAACATTTACAGGAAACTGTTATCACATCCTATTGCAGAATTGAAATAGGTATTTCATAAAAATAACGATTAAAAATAGCTATTATAATGTCTTCAGAGGATGGCAATAGAAGAATTAGCCATTATATAATTCATACCATGCATTACATAGTTAAATTATGTTTAAGAATATTTTCAAGAATTTTAAGAATTACTTTAATGGAGTTGTGTTGGAGTTTTGTAGTATCAATTATAATATTCATAGTATGGACATGGAAATGTGAAGTTGTGAAAGACAATACTCAAAATCCTGTGATATTGTGGTGGACTTCGGGATTTCCTGGTACGTCAGAGACGATACATTGCCCAAACCAAATAAAATGTGATGTTTTTAGCAACCAAAATATAAGCAATCTCCATGATGTTGAGGCATATTTGTTCTATGCAAGTGGTATTAACTTTGATGATTTACCTCTGCCCCGTCGTCCTAAGGAAGTGATTTGGGGTTTATACCACGAAGAGTCGCCAAGAAATGTGGAAGAAATGATGCATGAAGAAATATTGAGCTTATTTAATTTCTCATCAACATTTAGTCGGTACAGTGATGTTCCATTTCCTTTGCAGTATTTAAATGCAATAGATGACATAACAAGCTTAAAATATTTTGTATCAACAACCGAGAAAAATAAACACTTAAAAACCATTTCACCTGTAATGTATCTTCAAACAGACTGTGAAACATCAACTGAACGAGATGCATATGTTAAAGAGTTGATGAAATTAACAAATATTGATTCTTATGGTGCTTGTTTAAATAATAAAGAAATGCCAGCTAAATTCACAGAAGACTATTTAAATAATTTGAATGACGACGAGTTTCTGCACTACATAGCTAAGTATAAATTTGTGATTGCAATAGAAAATGGTGCTTGTGAAGATTATGTCACAGAAAAATTTTGGAGAGCTATCAAAATTGGTTCAGTCCCCATTTATTTCGGTTCACCCACAATAAGAGATTGGTTGCCTAATAAGAAGTCAGCTATACTGTTAGAAGATTTTCCAACCACAAAAAGAATGAATGATCATATAACTACATTGATGAATAATGATAGTCTATATGAGACATACCTTGAACATAAAACCAAGGCACTAATAACAAATCATAATCTTTTGGAAGAAATTAGGTTAAGACCTTATCAAGTTGATCCCTTAAAAGTAGCGCAAAATTTTGAATGTTTTATATGCAAGAAACTACATCAAAAAAGAAAAGGCATAATAAAAGAAAGCATAGTGAATAAAAACCATTACAACTGCCCAAAACCAATATCAGCTCTCACTTTAGAGGTGAATCCTTCAAATTCATGGGTGCATTCATTTGAGACTGCAAAACGTAATGTAGGTAGGATACATAAAGAGGTAATAACTACTAGCTGATAGTTTATATAATCTTTATTTAAATACATTTTTTACTAATGTTTCGGCTTATTTGTATAGTCTTCCTTATTGGCATACTGCATCCAAAGGCGACACTGGATGAACTTGATATCCCAGGCCTCTTTTGATTATATGTGGAATTTTCTTTGGTACCATGCTGTAAAATAGAATATATAAATGTTAAGCATATTTTTATTTAAAAGTTTATAAAACATTAAAGACAATCCCTCTAAAAATGATTGAAGTAATAAGGTAATAATTAAAATAGGTAGTAATGTTTTCTTGTAATAGGTATATGTTTAGTCGTGAAACAATTTTCGTCAGTATAAAAAAAATCTCAATCTCGATAAGATTATTAAAAATCTCCATTAGCAGTACTTAATTTTAGTATATCACTAATTACTTCCTCTGCACATCCTGATTATGGATCCTTAATGCGCAAACGTAACACTCATCTGGGAAACTATGTACTCCGCCCAGAAGAAATGAAATTGCTCACAGCTAAGCAACTCCTTCAATTCATTGAAGATATAGGGCTTGGCAATGAACTATAGCCAAAACAGGGATCACCATAGATCATATACATAGGTCGCAATGATACTCGTCTTTCTAGACCTGCATAGCTGCTTTTCATCCTCATATGGTTTTCTATATGAGGATGAAAACGAGCATTCTCCATTCATACACCCACATATAAAAGTGGAGGCTGCTTACAATTGCCTATCTAGTTGACATTCAACCAGTCTTTCATAGGAACCCCATATCCACATTAACAATGTCCTGAATTTCATCAGAAACCTTCAGAATACACTATTACTAAAGGAATTTATCACATGAATGACCTAAGTCATAGTGTATCCTGAAAACCTTCAGAATATGAGAGACCTTGGTAGGTAACTTAAGGGCAGAGAGTGCTTGCCTTTAAGGTGGAAGCTCAAGGGTGGCCCGCGAAATTCAAATTTTCTTGCGTTTTTTGGAATTTGCAGGTCAGTTAGTTAGTCAGTTAGTTTGTATATTTAACAAAATATGATTCGCGACCGTAGCGATTATGTGTTTACATAATTATTATCATTAAAATCACCAATACAACCCTGTAAGTTCATTTTAGCCCTTTGAATGAGTTTTTCAAATAGCCATACAATGAGCGAATAGACGTAGACAGGCTAGGCAACCACAACACCAAAACCTGAGACCAAAGAAATTCGTGTTTTAACTCAAGTTTTACTTCTGGCTGAGATTCGAACCAGGAACGTAGTTGCTAAGTACCTATTTCAATCACTATGGGATGTGGTCGCCCAACGCCAGTGAACTGTATTTATATTGATATTTGATAGTAATATTATGATAATAAAATGGAAAAGAAAACACGATTACAAAGAATTGCAGCCTATAAAAGTCATAATACAAAAATATGAAATGCTTACGTAATGCAATCGATGATAGGGCACACAGAAAGGCACAAGGTGCAACCGGTGCAGTCGTCAGTCACGTGCGGTATATGAGTTTCAGGATCAAACCTAAACGTAAAAAATATTTTTTATTAAATTTTTTTAAACTATGAACTCTTTAAAATGGGTGACGTATACAATGGAAGATCATTTATTCTCAAATCACAGTATAGTGGCGGTGACGGAATACACACTTATATCATCCCGTGGGACAGAGGGAAACAGACCAAGAGATGGGCAGCAGCGTTTTTCTAAAAACAACAGCTAAGAAATAATAATTTATTGAACCTTGCACAATCTATAAGAACATAATTAAAAATTTTATACAACCGACTTCAATATAAATTATTAAGAATAACTCAAAAACTATTGGTCAGACATTGATCAAATTTATATTAGGACCACATGTGAAGCACCAGCTTTCAAATAAAAAAAGAATCATCGAAATCGGTTCACCCAGTAAGAAGTTATGAGGTAACACACATAAAAAACACACAGTCGAATTGAGTACCGTCTCCTTTTTGCAGTCGGTAGAAAATTGCGATTACCAACCCGTGTGCCTAGCGTGGCAACTATGGAAAAAGCCATCCAATGAATATAGAGGAGGCCTATGTTCACCAGTGGACTTTTGATAGGCAGGATCAGTAACGGTAGTCTAAATAGTGTGGAATTTAAACTTAACCTTTAATTTTATTATATTTCTGAACAGTAAAGAATTCTAACCCTAACAGATCTATTTCTGAGGAATTCCTAAATCCATCTGGATTCTTAAGACCTTCGAATTATCTGACAGCAGAATCGATATTCTATATCTATTCTGCTGTCAAGAAGCAGTATGTCTCAGTGTTGAGTCCTGGTTTGGTGTATTGCATAGTCCCCAGAGGTGACGACAGATCTGTGTTGTCTGTGAGTTATTGTATCCCATGGACACTTATGAAAGGTGGAGCTGCTATTTCATTTGTTACATAAATATAACAAGCAGTAAAATTAAAAATTTTGTACAACCGACTTCAATATAAATAAAATGAGAACATTATCAATGTAGTCAAAGTTAATTAAATACGTAATGAGTAATAACTCAAAAATTATTGGTCAGATCCTGATCAAATTCATCACCAGCACCAGCTTTCAAATAAAAAAAGATTCATTAAAATCGGTTTACCTATAAAACGGTTCTGAGGTAACACACAAAAAATATACAGTCGAATTGAGAACTTCCTCCTTTTTTGAAGTCGGTTGAAAATTGGGGACTTTAGAGAGACAAGCAGGCATTTATTATTATAGATTTAATAATAAAGAATAATTTTCTAAATATAACTCGCGTTACATAACACGTGACATATAAGTGACTGTAGTTCAAAATATAAACAAGAAATACATAATTTTTAGTTACACAAATTTTATAATAAGAACTATCACATACTCAATAGCTTGGTATCCGGAATCTGCACACGCCATGTAACATTTACCGCAGTTGATGCACATATCCTGTAATACATAAAATGAAATTAATAAATCATTCATCATTCTCATCAGCCCATTGAGGTAAAGTAATACTAGGGATGGTTTATCATAACCGTAACGATGGCAGGCGGATAGACCATTACAATTACAGCACAAGATTTTTGCAAAGATAGTTAAGAATAGTTCAAATTCATTGTCTGTTGTATAAATTACTAGCAGTGCCCCGCGGTTTCACCCGTGTATTATTTAAGGAATTACTTATTTATTAATTGATTTATAGTACTTCAGTATAGACAATATTTTTAGTAACCTTTTCATTTGGTATTAAAATATATTGGTTTTCACCGCATCCTGTTCTAAATAAGCCAACATATAACTGCCCATGGGAAAAACGGTATTCATTTAAATCTATCCCCACGTGCTTGAAAGTCTGTCCATGTGCTTTATTTATAGTGACTGCAAACGATACTTTTATGGGAAATTGTATTCTTTTAAAACTAAATGGTAAATCTGTAGGTATTATAGGAATTCGAGGTATTAGTACCGTTTGCCCAACTGCTGGCCCAGTCAAAACTATAGCAACTAGGATATTATTTCTAAGAAATTTAACTTGAAGCCTAGTTCCGTTACATAGACTTGGTGGCCGCAGGTTTCGTAATAAAATAATGGGAGTGACACTTTTTCAACTAAGCCCCGCGAAATGACAGCTCGCTTATATAGGCGTTCACTGCTGGTTTCCTACGGATCTCATCGGGCGGCTAGGGTTTATGCGATCGTTCGCGCTCCGAGCAGAGTGTTTATTATATTATTTTACATTATCTCTTAAACTATGCGTCCAAATAACATGCTATAAAGACCAAAGTTTATCTTCATAAAATTGTCTTGATGATGAAGTAACTTTAGTTCGTAAGGATTAATATGCCATGCCTAATAATAAAGCTCATAAATCACTTTTTAATTTTCAATAATCTTTTGTCACAAAATACCTTATTGTGGCTTATGTATAAGAAATAGTCATATGGTAGCACGGACTTTTTTTAGGTGGAGCAAAGACCAATATTTTTGTAGAACATTGTATTTATGTAATACTAAACGTTACGCCAGCGCACGCGGATAAAGCAGTTAGAGAGCGCCTTTCCTTCTGACTTGCTTAAGAAAAATCAATATTTAAGGCTAGCTGAGAGTTATAATGCTAGATAGCCTATACTATTTCTCATGAATCTGGCTATTATATACAAAAATAATTTTTAAATCGGACTGGTAGTTCCAGAGATTAGCGCGTTTAAACAAACAAAAAAACAAAAAACTCTTCCGCTTTATTATATTAGTATAGACTAGCTTTTTACCCGCGGCTTCGCTCGCGTGCGCTTGATTTTAGGGACATCATTAAATGCTGTTCCATGTCAAATTTAGAAATATTCGATCACTTTTAGAGTCACCTTGGTGTCTATGTTTCTATGTCTGTCAGAGATTTTTTTTTCATTCTAAAATACTATGAGACGTAGATGATTGGTAACATGCTACAGAAACGCGTGAATATACTTATAATATGTCTAGAAACTCCTACTATTTTTTATATATGGCGTGTCTTCCGATTCCGATGTATCCATAAGAAAGGTAAATAGTCTTGAAATCAAATGTATTATTACTTCCATTTTACTCTTTACATATATATATATATTCATAGTTAAAGTAAATTTAGTTTTAACAAAGTAATATAATGTTTATTTGAGACATTTTATTCATATCATTGGTCCTATTTAATATTGATTGGCACCATAAAAAGATATAGATATTTTTATTTACTTCGAGTAGACTTGAAAATTTCATAAATACAGTTCTATAATAATGAATACCACACATGGATTAAAACTAATGTTACGGGTTTTTTGCGCATCTTGACTCCTCACGGAATGAAAGCACCGAAGCTCCGGGAAGTCTAAAGTATGTAAACATGTTTAGTATCGTCCCAACCATTATATACAACAAATTCTTGCAATAGAACACCGAATCCTACCAATGATGATTCGCGAGGCTATTGAAATTAAAAATATCCTAATTTTAATAGGGAAAATGGCTGAATGCTAC